TCATCTGAGGCTTTAATTGGTAAACATATGGAAATTTATTTTTTTATATTTACTTGCCAATTTATGATTGTTGGTATGTTGTTTGAGATCAATAATATTGTACCCATTTTGTCCAAGATCATTTCCAAAAGTTGAAGTACTTTGTGTCTCTAATGCTTTCAAATAAAGTTTTGTCTTTTTCATCTTTTAGTACACTCAATACAATGGATTAATAGCTGTATCAAAAATGCCAAAATATTTCATCCAAGGAATGTTAGCATCAAACAGAATCTATTTGCACATTTTCTCAGCCATTTGTTGTCTCTGTTCAAAAGAACTCAAATTATATAGTTGAGAGATTATATTCAATGTAGATAATCTTTTATAGAAATCAACAATAAAGACATCAAGAAGACAAAAATGCATATTCAAATGCTATCAAATATGAGTTTTACCCTTTTTATAATATATTTGTAATTATTCATGGTTTCAACTCATAGCATTTTAGTTTTATAATACACTTCACATATTCTACCTCAGCTGAAATAAGAAAAAAAATGTTATGTTAGATTTTTAAAATTAGTGAAGACTTCTTTGAAGAGAAATTCAGGGTGTTCTGATGAGGATACCCTTTGTTTTTCCACCTTACTTCAAGGTTTATAACTATAAGTGAAACTGAAATTATTGGAAAAATATTGATGAAGTAAAAAGAGAACAGAATATTTCTAATAGATTTGTTTTTTTCTTCTGAATAATCTCCAAACAGTTGTATTCACCATTTTAATAATTATTGTAATTTGTATTTAATAACAGTGATTAAAATGTTAAAAAACATCAAAAACAGATTAAAAAAACAAGATTTACATTGTCATAAAGAGGTAATGTTAAATGCAAATAATTAACAAAGGAAGTAACAAAAAAGGTTTACATTACCATAATGTGGTAATACTGAAATGCAAAAACATAATTAACAAAAGGAGTAACAAAGAAAAATTTACATTACCATAAAGTGGTAATATTGAAATGCAAAAACATAATTACCCAAAAGAGTAACAAAAAAACGGTTTCTATTACCATAAAGCAGTAATAATAAAATGCTAACATTTTGTTGTGTTTTATCATTTCAGTATTAACACTTCATGGTAATATAAACCTTTTATGTTACTCCATTTTTGGCATTTTTCTTGTTGTTGTTTTAACATGTTCATTCTCATTACTATTATTAAATTTTGTACCCCTTTTAAAAAATTTAAATAATTTGAATTTTTGTGATTTAGCATTAATTATACTATTTTGGAGTCTGGTTTAATTTCCCTGTTATCTTTCCACAGGCTGAGCAAAGGTGTGTATAAGATTAAGGGTTTGAGCTGAGATGAACAATTTAGTATCTTAATTGGACAACAGTAACAAGAAATACAGTTACTATAATTAAAAACAACAGGTTATGTGTGTAAAAGGAATGAAGAAACAAAACATATAATACTTTATTTAAGTGAAAAAATACTGGCTTAGGAAAGGTAAGACAACATTGCGGGTTATTCAAGAATCTTTTAATAAAAGGTGAAATATTACTATCAGCAGGATCCATACAACTTTTATATTTCTGTAAGTTATACTAAATTTGTATGGCTGAGTCTCATTCCTGTTATATAGCTGTAACAGGAGGAGAGCTAGAGAAGAAAGATTTATTTTCCCATTTGTATTTCCACCATTATGAACATTATTATATACATGATATAATTTCACAGACAGAAATGGAATGGCTGAAAGGAAAAAGAAGGACAAGAGACTTTTATATCACTAAGACATACACAAAACTATATACACATGTTGTCCCATGTGGAGAATAATATATTACATATATCTACACTGAAAAGAGAAGGAGAAAGAAAAAAAAAAAGGTTTACATATAATATGGAGATACACCTGTATCTGGAGAAGCCATTTTTAGGACTCCAGATTTAAATGGTCTCAGATGAGGGAATATTCCACAAACGGGAAACAGCGAGTCTGAGGTTTTCCCAAATTGAGAACTGTGAGCTGGAGTTTCATTCTATATCTGGGAAAGATATATTCCGAAAGGGAAATGACACTATGGACTTGTAAACTGCTGGGAAGGCAGATTTAGACTTAGGTTAAAGAAAGCAACCTTTAACTTTTAGTTGCTGAAAATGAACTGAAATTGACTGGTGCTTTCATCACTGTATAGAGTGACATCATTAAATGCTTTCTGTATCCTTACATAGCCTTTAAACCAACATTTCCTCTAACAGAACTATATCAGCCTTATTTTAAGGCTTTAAATCAGACTTTAAAACTCAAGGATTAGGAGTGGTCTTTAAATGATTCCTAACAAGTACAAGTAAAAGACTGCTATTTTCTAAAAATAATTATTTAAATAAGATGGAATTATCATTTTTATGTAGATATTTAAACTTTTTTCACTGGATCAAGAAAATTGAGCAGAAAAATGCACACACATTTTCCAGATTGGTCACAACTGTCCAGAAAAACACATGCATTTATACAAAACTGAACCTAATAATACTAAAGGAGAATAGACAACTGAATCATGTTGAGCAACATGACAGCTTCCATGTTGTAGAAACATGCTTCAAAATTAGTAATTTATTTGTTAATTTTTCATCTACAGACAATCATCTATACTAAGACAATTTGATATAGACTCATGAATATCCTCCCAAAGATTTTCTTGGCAATTCTTTCCTCTCATGAGAAGTTTGGAGAAAGGGGAATTGATGAACTTAGTTTCAATGATAAATCAGATTTTGATAGTAATGGCAGCAGTCCAAGTGCATGTATTGCTGATGGTAATACATACTGTTATATTTACAAAATATTTTGCATCTCTTGGCAATTCTATTGCATTCAGTTTGCATGGAAATGACCCAGACCAGATATTCACAAGTAAAATATAATCACAGCATAACCCTACCAGAATATATATAATACAGAGGAGTGAACATGTGTAGATAGCAGCTCATAAATTAAATTTGACTTACCTTAGTCTTTAGCACTCTGCATTATTTTATTTCAACTGAATACCTTCAAATCTCCTCAGCTGCAGCATCTCTTGATTTCTATTGCCATAGCAGGATATAACAACACTACCATGAAAGTCAAACACATTAACATTCAGTGACTGATGTTACCTGTAAGGACAAGTCAAAATTTGGATTAGCAAACAAATTGCCTCCGGATTACTAAAGGTAAAATTTGGTAAAATTAGAAATATTTCTAAATATTTTTTATAATTAAAACAATTTATTATTTTTTGGTACATCAGCTGAGGGACTACTGACATATTAGAAAACTGTCTTCTATGTGCTGTGTCCCTTCAGGACATGTGTGTTCATTCATGGCTCTCTATACTATCTTGCCTAATCAACATCGTAACTGTGAGACCGAACTTAGATTAATCTCATGCAATATCAGTTGATCTGAGCTTGAGGTATTCGGATGTCTAGTCACACTGAGGAGCTGTGATACAGCAAAACAGTATTGTCTGCAAATGGCATTTTAGCTCTTGAAAATATATTTTCAGTTGATCACTCTTGAATGACAAGCTTATTCTAAAAACAACTGTCACCTGTGTAAATGCAAAGCTCTTCAGTAAAGTGAATGGAGCACTTTGGCTGCTGGACGTTTGTTTATGTTTGTAAAAACAATACACTAGATTTGGCTGACTCGTTCTTTCAAGTGAAGATGGCTCAGTGGTAGAAGCTTTGACTGATACAAAATCGGTTGGGTTTTAATCCAGGTTTGAAGCATTCAGTTGTCTAGTTGCACTGACAGTGAAACAGTACTGTCTGCAAATGACATAATAAATATATATATATATATATATATATATATATAAATGTTGCCCATTGGTTCCTATAAGAAGGTCATCCACCCTTTGACAGGTATTGTCTTTCATCTTGAGGGGTGACACATGCTCCCCTCCTCACCAGCAGAAAAGCTTGAAAATAATTCATCACCCACAAGGCTGAATAAATACTTTTGAACCCTGTCAAGTATGGAATGTGAAGATTAGGCTGTGCCACCAAAGATATAGCAGCAATACTTCATTTTTGGTCTGATCTACCTCTTGTAAATTTAGAGCATAGTAGAAGGAATAAAGTACTTTCTGGTGTAGTACATAGGATGTAGCATAAGGCCGAGTTTAGAGTGAGATCCCCATGTATACATGGGACTAATGATGAAAATTACTCAAATCTCTTCAGTATTTCTCCTATGCTGTCACCTCAGGTGTCAGGGATTAAACTTAGCCCTTACCAAAGGAGAGTTACTGCCCATGGTGGTAATGTCTTCCTGAGAATTGAGCACATTTTATATATTATCTTCTACACAAGGTCAGTATGCTTTCATTTTTACACATGGTTGAATGAAAGCAAGGCAAACCTTACCATGTAATTTATGTATAGAGATGATTATATGGCCCTAACTATGAAAAAATTTAAAAGACATTCATAGGGTTACAGTTGGCAGTGGAAGCAGAAGCCTTAGAAAAGCTTCTACATAGGTTCTGTTGTGCTGATTTCCATGATAATGAAAAGTGTCAGATAACAAAGGTTCCTTGTTTGACCGAGCTAGAAATGTTATCCCTTGTTCAAACCTTCAGTCATTCTCCAGCCAGCTTTCACCTAAAACAACACAAATCTAAATTATATTTCAATTCTATCAGAAGGCTGAAAAGATCTCCAGTCAATGAAGTACTTTATGACATTGGTGTTGAGCCAGGACTTTTTCTTATAATAAAAGACTTTTAACATTTCTTCTCAAATACAATGAGTTAGTGGCAGAACTAGATTTCAATGACTGGTCATGAGATAGAATCTAAGGATGGTTGAATTCATGCCACACCTTAAAGAAGAATAAAACATTAAAACAACTGAACAAAGCTAAGAATTAAATTTGGCATATTCATTGTTTATCAATAATCATAACTGATCCTTCTCATTTAAAACATATGATTTCCAGATTACAGTAACATCATATTGAAACACCAGTTCCCATATGATCACTGAAGTTAAGCAACATTGAGCCTGATCAGTACTGAGAGAATTAACTGCTTGGGAATACCAGATGCTCTAAGCTTGGATGTGCAGGAAGTATAATAGATAATGGCTCAGAATTGTTAATTTGAAGGCTGGGTTCCAATTCCTGTTGGGTTCATTATATTTGCTAATGCACAAATAATTTTGGGAAAGGTATGAATCCACTTCTTCTTCCCCATAGCTATGGGTTAATTAGTAAGAATTGTATCACTAAACTATTATTATCTCTAAAAAAATCTTACAATCTGAAAATATTTTCTGGCTTTAAATAACCTGCAAAGGGATGATAAGCTGTAGAAAATGAGTCAATCAATCAAATGATTTTAAAAAATGACCTGGAAATATGCACAACATAACTCATGTCATCTTTTATTTATATCTGTGGAATCATTTATTCTTTTTCACTTTTTTTTTTTTTTTTTTTAGAGTACTGGACAAAGACAAATATTTTTATCATCTAATCCCAAAACTCTTCATAAAAAATAGTCTATTTTTTCTTTTATTTGCTTCATGGAGATAACAACTAGAAGAGAAATATAAGACAGCTGAATGCAATTCATTAAATTCAAGTCATAAGACAGTTTTCAGTTTTATTATTTGAATATCATTGGTTGTTATGATATGACAGGAATTGACACACATCATCTTCTATATGTAAGAATATTTTATGAACTGTCAGCACATTTATTTTTGACACAAGGTTTTTTAAACAGTTAAACTGTAATCTGATTTGAGTGCCAAAATGAAAACAATTCCATGTAAAGCAATAGATTTATAAAAAAATATATATAATGATTATGAAAGGGGAAAAATTGTTGCCTTAATTTATCAGTAAAATGTACATAAAATATATTGATATAATAAAACATTTTAGATTAAAAAAAAACAGTATTTAAATTCATTGGTTGCTTTTATTTTAAACTTTTGTTGTGGAAAGATGTAGCATTGTATCAGAAAGAGGTTAACACTTGATGTGGATGTGGGTGAGGACTTTAAATGAATTCAATATTTTCAAAAGAAAAGAATTCTACATGTGGAGTTTTTTTATCAAATCTTAATATGAAGAACAAGATATAACATAAAAAATGAGAAAGAGAAAATTATATTTACTTGTATGCAGATAACTAAAAAAAGTAAAGAAAAGCATGAGATTAGCAGTAGTGTATGTGATGCACTGCATGGTTGTGTTAAATTAAGTAGTCAGTTTCTATCTTGGGAGACTTAGAAGTGTCCCAAGATAGAAAGAACATCATGCTCTCACTTTAACATCCTGGAGTAAAAAAAGAAAAAAATAGAAAGCGTTTATGTTACTTCATTTTTTAATCTTGAATACAATGACATCTTGTGGGTGTTCTGGCAGACAAGGTGGTGTAACCCTTTATTTTCTATTTATTGTTTTTTTTTTCTTTTGTCTGTTTACAAATTTCTATTCAATTTCTTTTATATTGAGTCCCAAAATGAAAACATTCCTTTTTTTTTACTTCATCAAACAATTTTAATCCTCTTCCATTAAACAAGTAAATTTAAGATGGAAGTTGTAGATTTTAGCTCTCCATGACATTACATCTTTTGAAAAAAGAAAATAATGGTTGACTTATTTGAATATTCCCTGCCCAAATGTAGAGAGAAAAAAATCTGATGTTTGATCAGATTTTGACAAGTTTGTTGGGCTTATGATTTTTCGGAACCCACTTATAAAAATGCGTAAGAAATTATGTTTTCACTATGTAATCAATATACATAATTTTTTTACAAATGTTCACCTTGTACAAGGCCACTTGAAGTAGTGGATTATCGAGTAACAGGCAGAATTTATGGAGATATAAGGGTCAACGCCAGATTTGAACAGGTTAAGATTTTAGCGATCAGGGAAGCATCCTCTTGGAAATCGGTTCCACAAAGCAGCGGTTTGTGGGAAGAAGCTGCTTGAGTGAAACTTACATCTCACCACTGGAATATGAATGCAGGTTGTTGGCTACAATGGATGTGGTATAGTAAGTTTTAGTTGTAAAGGTTAGAACTGGTGCAACTAAGGAATGTAATTTGTCTGATTATTCTTTGAATGTGAACTAATTAATTAATTTTGCCAAGATTTGACATTGTAGGGTTTCAGCTAGAACCCTTCACCTAGTGAGCAGATAACTGAGGTGAGTTAGTGGGCTTGGCACAGTTAGGGACAACCGAGATAAATTAGTGCCCTTGCCACAATTAGGTTCAGTTCAGTTCGGAGAAGAGGTTAGGGTAAGATATTCTGTAACCAACATCCAGACTCACACCATAGGGAACAAAAATATTCATACATGATAGATGGCAACATCATCTAATATAAAGGTAATAATCTTGTAGAGTGCAAACCTCATTGACTGTAATTAACATGTTAATGTCATGTTATATTGTTGTTTTACATTGTTACATTTTATAAAAATGGTAAACATATTTTGGTACTGTTGTGGCCTGTTTAGGGGCCAAAAAGAAAGACACGGAAGACAAAGGTCAGTTGAAAAAAGTATATTGAAGATATATACAAAACAATAGTGTTAGTAATAAGTAGAATAGCACTGCATCGACTACTTCACTCCACTTCACACTCTGCACCTATGTGACTCTTGCAGTTAGTATTTATCAGAGGAGGAAGAGTTCATTATACTGTAAGAGGGTTTACCACAGCAGGTACCCCTCTTTTTTATTTCCCTTTAGTATCTTCTTTATATTGTTCCTCTTGTGAGAGTTTCATAACCTTTATTTAATTTTCAATATCAGAGATTATTGATCTGATTCAACCTCGAATACAATAATTTAAAATGTTTAAAATGCAAATTCTTAACGTTGGTTTAAAGTGAAATCTCACTTCAATTTTCAAAAATTGCTTCATTTAACTGGATATGTTCTACTATGAACTTTGATGGATGTTGGTAAGATCCATTAACCTCTGAAGTCAACCTTACATAACTGATGTTTTGTGAGTCTTTATCACAAGATTATTGCAAATGATTGTCACATGGACACACACATGCTCACAAACTGACTTTGGTGACCTCCAATGATCCTATCCTGTCATCTTTTCTACCCAAGTTACCTCCACATTCATTTTATCTCCAAGACGAAAATTTCTTGGTTACAATTCAATTCAGGAAAGCCATAAATTAATTCTACTTGGAATGATCTTCATTGACCTTAGTGGTCCAATTTGACCTTATCTATTCTTCCATCCATAATGTCAAGATACATTTATATACTTACAGCAAATGCAGTATACCATTATATTTTGCTAGGAATTGGTTCATTTGTATATAAAATGATTTCTATGCTCATTACTGATCATTAGTGATCTCAGGTGACCTCCAGAAGCAACATTGCACTGTCTATGTTACAATTCTCATGCTAAATAATAGATCAATGAACCTTGTCATTTGAGCTTCATCATGGTACAACCATACATACAGGTGCACGTATCAAATTTCCCAATATATTTAGAGATTACAGACTCATTATCATTACTTATATTCTCATTACAGTATTTATGATTCTACTGAGTAGGCAGATGCAAAATAATATCAAATTTTGTTTTACAGAGAAAACAATTCTGTAATAATAATTTTGTTTTATTTATAGATCATACCAATTTCATCCTTTGCAAATTAAAGACATACAGAAATGCACAATAGCAACATTTTTCAGTTTACTCATAAAATTATTTATTTTACTTTTTTAATTAAATTGGTTTGGAATTATTTTCTTTTATTTGAAATATTTCCACTGACAAACACACATTGTGCAAAACAGAAAATTTATGAAGATTGAAAGAAAAGTTTTAATTATTTAAAACTGGACTTCAGAATTACCTCAATTTTGTACCAGCTATGGTTAAAGCCATCATTTTTATTTATTTAAAAAAATATTTACTATACAGTGCTTATTATTTCTAATTTAAATATATAGATTTGCTTTCATTCAAGGTGTGATTTGCTTAGAATTATCAATTTAGTCAGATTAGAAAGATTATTTTGTTTTTGTATGAAATATTTTCAAGTCTCAGAGTATTTACAATACATTTCCAATAGAATCTGAAAGAGCATTAATCATATATTCATTTTCTTATGCCCTCAGTTTGTGCTTTTTGAATTCTCTTTGCCAATCTGCATCATTTAATTTAATTCAGAAGAAATCAAGAAAAACTAAAGATGATCTCTGAAGCTATTATCAACCAAGTAATAATGATGGATAATGTTGATAGCGTACACACACAGAGACACATATATATATATATATATTATTTATTATAATTTTTCCATATAGACAAAAACAATTTACTCATGACAAAGGTGCAAAATCTTTTTGGTTCTCACCAGTTGAGGTGAAACTAAATGAACTGAAACAAATTTGCATCTTTGTTGCGAGTAAATTGTTGTTGTCTACATGAAAAAATTATAATAAATAATTACTGCTCTACTATCGGTATTGAGCCCTCTTTAGAATTAATGCTGTGAACATTAGAATTTATATATTATTTTTGTTCTCATTACATTCATAACCATATTTTAAATCAATTAATTTATAATATATATATATATTTTATAATATATATATATATATATATGTTTAGGAAATGGATTAAATCCGAGATATTGTTATTTTTAATTTATCTTCTATAAATGTTATTTTTGATGGATACTCATATTCAAGTAGAAGCTCTGTTTTTAATTACACAGTATTTTTTATTCAACTACATCTACTGGCCTTCTCATATGCAAGAAATTTTCTCAGAAAATCCAGCAGGATTTGAACCTACATCCTACCTATATATATATATATATATATATATATATATATATATATATATATGTATGTATATGTGTGTGTGAGGTCATTCTGATGGTATCATGTAAGCCAGTACTACCTGTTGCATGACCGGACAATTGGCAACTAAACCGGTTCTCCCACCAGGTCTACCTGGTGAGGAGGGTGGCTAGAAATCCTGCAGGACAAAACCAAGACCCGTCAAAGACCAGATGAACCTCTTTGAGAGGTCAACA